CGTGCGTGTGTGCGCGAGCGCGCGTGTGTGCGTGTGTGTGTGTGTGTGTGTGTGTGCGCGCGCTCGTGCGTGCGTGCGCGCGCCTGTGTTCGTGTACAAACTGAGCACGTACGTTTGCGTTTTGAAAAAGTGTGTCTTCACAACAATTGAGGAGGACGGGTGTCGACAAGGAGACATTTTGGGCTTCAAGCATGTGCGCGCGTGAGTGGGTGAGCGTATCGCAGGCTAGGGTTTCGAGGAAGACGCGAGCGGCGGCTGGAGACGGGGATAATATGCAAATAGATTACGTTTTATTGATCTCGACCCCGTTCTCGCTTGCAGAGCGACATTCCCCATTTCCCCATACAATAATAACGGTGGGCTTACCCCCAGGAAGCGCGAACTTGAAGCAAATGTGTATAATAAATCGTTGAATGGCGATTTAGAGAAGGTTGCAGTGAGTGCAGGGCGAATATAAACACAAACACCCACACAAACACACCTTTTTTATACATATTATTTATCATTGAATATTTTACGATAAGATGTAATATTATGTATTTGTTAAAAAAGGTGCGTTTGTGTGTAAACGTTATATAGTGCGAAAACATTTGTGTGAGAGTGCATGTGCGCGTATATATATATGTGCAAATGTGCATCTTGGCATGTGAGTTTGATAAGTGCTTGTCTATGCTCCAGAGTTTGCTTTTACTTTTTTTTAAGAAAACGAATTACAGCACTTGCAGAACAATTTGGTTATATTATATAAGTGCCGGAGAGTGAAGTGTTACATGAGAGTAACAAACACAAAAAAGGAGGAGGAGAGGTAAGGACGATATATGTTTGATAGGAAAGAAGGAGCAAACCACACCAGAGCACCCGCCAACCACCCGCGTTTGCTTTTATGTACGTGAAGTCAGTATAATACAGTATGCTCTGCTCGGTGTTCTAAGCCTAAATTCAATCATATCACTAATCAATTCAAGTGCAAATTACTTTATGTTATGGATATGAATAATATGTTCGATTAGTACTGGTGAGCATGTGCAATGTGTGTGTGTGTGTGTGTGTGTGT